AATTCAAACTTCATAAATTGACTGGAGACATTTGTTGGGACGGCCCCTACCTAGCCCTGTGAGAGAGTGCCCATGGCCAGATGATGATAGCCATGCCAAAGAGTAGCCCTCTGAGCTACCTAGCCCTATGAGAGACTACCCACGGCCAGATGATGATAGCCATGCCGAAGAGGATCCCTCTGAGCTACCTAGCCCTGTGAGAGACTGCCCATAGCCAGATGATGATAGCCATGCCGAAGAGAAGCCCTCTAAGCAAACTCCCATCTCCACCCACCCATAGAACAATGAAAGTTGACTATGTTGGTATTACCTTATAGATGTCTATCAATCAATTCGCACTAGCTATTTGATATCCATATTACTTTTCTAACAATCTGAATGTATGAAAACTTTGTAATGCCATTGCCAAGAAGTGCGAGGAAGCCGAGGCCTCAAACTCGTGGAATTTTGCTTAACAAAATGAGCAAATCAATGGGAGGATTGAGGATGCCCATCTCTATTACCAAGGGGAACAGAAGGCCACATGATCCAGTGTAAGCTGCCAAGTTTTCTTAGAGGCAGGTGTAGTAGTCAGGCATCAAATACCAATTTTGACACATTGGAAACATTACAAGAAGCCCTCCGGTGTCGTCCATTATAGGAATTTTGTGGAGAGGCTAACTGTATGTATGGGTATCCTCTCTTGACATTCAACTCTACTTTGACCAACTTTAACGGATTTACTTTTCATTCACACTACTACATGCAGTCAAGGCTAGATATTGACAAGGCTCACCCACCAACACAAGAAGCATGCTGGAATGTATTGCAGTGTGGGATACGGTAGGCCTGCTATAGGTTGAAGCAAACCTACTTCAATGGCGTCCCTGCTAATCATATCCGTATGACCTCTCATGTCCCGTGCATGATCGATGAACAGTGGTGTGAACTTATCGAGACTTGGTCTAGTGCTAAGAACAAGGTGTGTGTGAACCCATCGATTTCCTATCTAGTCTTGCTATGGTCTACCTGTGCTGTAGTCTCACACAAATGAAGTTATAGGAAACATCTAAGACAAACAAGTGAAACTGTGCAAAAGTGAAGTACCACTAGTCTATAGGATCTCGCTCCTATGTTGTCCAACTGCAAACATTTGTAAGTGATGGTTATATTTTATTGTTACTCTTGCCTTTGTATATATATAAATAGAAACTCATGTGCAATGTGAACAGAAGGAGAACAAGAGGAAGGCCACAGAACATGATCAAGGACTTGATGAACAACATGATGATCCAAGACTTCAACAACATGGTCGACCTGATGAAGTCTTCAAGGACTTCCATACCAATATGAAAAAGGGCCTGAACAATGCTGCAAGAGCAGTAGTTGTAAGTATCTTCATTTTCTTTCCTTGAAATCTACTGAACCCATTGCCATAAAAGAAGGAAACACAGCAGGAGCCTAATTTGGCAACATCATTTAATTTTGCAATTGCAATTTTACACCATTCAATACATTGTGCTTGTGTAATCTCTATCGGCAGTAGGCTGCAAAAGATCTATGCATTGTGCTTATGTAATCTCTATCAGCAGTCGTCTGAGGAAGTCCTATGTATTACTTATTATGAATTAATCTCTTGGGTTTTCAGTTGAAGTCCTCTTCCACTATATGTAACCTAATATTTTACTGATTAAATTTTATAGGAAGGTATGGAAGCTATGCAAACAGAACATGTTGCTGATGGGCAGCAACCAATGACTAGTGCTGATGTTGTTTCTAAGGTTATCTACCTCTACTAGGGCAAGCGCCCCTCCCAGGCAAGCAGCAAAAACCTTTTTTTGAAGAATGTTGATATCCTAAGAAGCTCCACCAGAGCAAAGACATCGGCGGAGATGACACTTTGGGAGCAGCTTGCTGGTGAACAGGAAAGTAAATCTGAGCTTGTCAAACTAGTGGATGAACTGAAGGTGAGGATAGAAAAGGCTGAAAGGGAGCTTGAGAAATTTAAGCAACAGCAACAGGAGGAGTACAATAGGCTCAGTGAACTAGTCTTGCGCTTAAGCTCTCCTGGTAATTAACTCTCTGTCTTCAACTCCTACAGCTTGATGCAGTGAACATTTGTGGCCTGTTGTGTGGACGCATGTGATGGTTTGATGTTGTGATACTCTGTCAGTGGTTCGTTGCTAACATGTGAAATGTTAATTGTGGTTATTTGATTACCATACTGAATTGTTATGTAGTCAATCTATGCAGTAATGACGATCTCGAATTACTTTAATGACGAATTGATTGTACTCCACGTGGTAGAACCAGAACAGGCCACGTGATCAAATAAAAATGCGACACGTGGAGAAACCAGTGCATGACACGTGAAATAGCCAGAGCACGACATGTGGGCTATTAAAAATCCAACACGTGGAAGGATGTCATCAAGCTACGTGGCCGAATAAAAATGCGAAACATGGATGGACAGTGCCTTAACGCGTGGTTGAATAAGAAACAACCACGTGGACCAATAAAAATACGCCACATGGTCCAATGAAGAAGTGACACGAGATCCAACCGCAACACGACACATGTGCCCATAGAAAACTGACATGTGGAACAACAGGAACACGACACGTGGTCCAGTAAGAACCTGAAACATGCAAGAACCAGAGATGGTCTCACGTTGTGCAAAAAGAAGGTGACACGTACCCGGCTATAGCATATACACCATCTCCAATGCAACTGGCTATAGCATGTACACGTGAAAAGCATCTCCAATGGAAGCACCCACCATCATGGCAGTCCCCCTACCACGCATGCCAAAATAGTTCTATGACATTCTGTTTTTGTCACTGATCAAGCCACTTCTATGATGTTTTGTGAAAATCGTCATAGAATTTTAAGTGTGACGCGACTTCTATGACAAACCGGTTTTCATCATAAATTCATCATAAAACTAAAATTATGATGAATTTGCCTCATTCAGTGACGAAAGCTGATCGTCATAGAAGTGAATATTCCTACTAGTGGGACGAATATACCAAAACATAGCTTATAGAGGTATTATATGACAAAAAAGTATTAGAAGAAGGGAGATACTAGCGCTCGGACGTTCGGACAGAAGCGCACGTCCGGACGCCCGCACCTCCTTCATCACGCACGCCCATGGAAGCGCCACGCTCGCCGCTCCTTCCTCCTTACCCCTCCTCTCTCACCGCAAGTTCGGACGCCGCACTTCCTCCAAGCGCCTGCAACCGCCCCTGCGCACTCCTTCCCCCTGAACCCCTCCTCTCTCTTTGCACGGGCAGGACCCACGAACCAGGATGAGGACAACTAGACGAGCGCGCCCCGTCCGCACGACTCTAGGTGCGCCACGCACCTTGACCGCCAGCCCTAGCATGTCCCACCTGTCGGCCCCGCGGGATGAGGATCAGACGACTGGATGAGCGCGTCCCATCCGCACGACCCCAGGTGCGTCGCGCACCTCCTAGCACGCCCCACCTGTGGGCCCTGGCTCACAGCGCCCCATCCCCTAGCGCTTGAGCCATGCCCCATGACTCTCTACCTTTAAAATATGAAACATTTAGATGCAACCTACGTCCAAAGCAGATAAAACATTTGGAACATACACTTAAAATATGTGTGTGAAACACATGCAATATCTAGATAAAACACTTGCAACATGAAAACAATTATTGCAACATAAGACTGAAACGACGGAAACATTTCGAACATGCTCTTGCGATATATATATGTGTGAAACATATGCAACATCCAGATCGAAACGCTTGCAACATACATCTGAAATAGATGAAACATTTTGAACAAATGCTTGCAACATGCCTTTGAAACACATGCAACATGCCTCTGAAACACTTGCAACATATGCAACATCCCGATCTACTTTTGCAACATTCATATGAAACACTTGCAACACACCTCCGAAACACTTGAAACATACATTTGCAACATAGAGAGAGGGGGCCGGGGCCGGTTGATTCCGGCCTTGGGGTGGGAGCCAACGGAAGCGGCGGTGCACGAGCACCACTAGCCTGACGCGTGCGGGAGGGAGCGGCCCGACCAGCAGAGGTGGGAGCGCGTGACAGGCAGGAGAGAGGAACGAGCGACGCAGGCTAGGCGCACGCGACGGCAGCACCAGCACTAGCAGAGGCCGCTGCGGGGCGGAGGCGCTGTGGTGAGCGATGAAGGCGGGCGGCTGTGCTCGGGCATGATGGAGAGATTCGTGGTTGAGCACGCCGTGGTAGTGCGGCGCGTGCCGCGATGCATCATGCCGCGACGGTGCGGTCGCGGTGCGGGGGGCGCGTCAGAATGGGTGCTGGCACTGCGGGGAAGTATGAGGAAAGGGAAAGTAAGAGCGGAGTATTCCGTATTTTTTTAGCAACGTGGTGCGAGTCTATTGGGCTGTTCGGCCGGCTTCGCGACCCACCAACGGCGGCGTCCTACAGATTCCTATCGGATCGGACACCCTGGCCCAGCATTACCCCGTTAAAGAAACGCTTGGCTTTTTAATATTAGATAGAGATAGATATATATAGATAAATTAAAGTATGTTCCGTAATAGTTTATATTTGTATTTGAGATATATTTATTTTCTTTTTGTAACGCTAGAAGTTGATGGCATATCCTGGTAATTTAAAAATAAAGTTAGGGATTACTGGTATTATCTTTCATAAAGATAGAAGTAGATAATTTTGATGCAAATTTTTATTAGGTTAACTTTACTTATCTTTTATAATGACATATAGGTGGATAATTTTTTAGAAAACATACTACATCCAATGGTCATGACAATTAAAGTATACTAAATTAATCTATGTGCAGCAACTAGCAACAACTAAAAATGCAACAATCAAAGGTCAAAACTTATTCGCTGCCTTACATTTTTAGCAGTAATTGAAGTACCCTAAAATAGCCCGGTGATGATTTGGAACCCGCATCAAGCGCCCAAAGCTTTTCACTTCGTCTACTGAACTCCCTTCATTTTGTTTGCTTGGACGCACAACCAATCGACAATGGAAGCTTCACACAGGAAACTCTCAGCAGCCGTCGTCCTCCTCCTACTCACTATGGCCGGTGGTATGTCCAATAACCCTGAGACATGTATGAGAAGTCACAACATATAATCATATATATCTCAAATGGTTTGGTTAACGTTGGTGTGCGCGTTGTGTTACGTGCAGAGTTGGGGCCAGCTCAGGCGAAAGAGTGCTTGTCTGAGAGCACCACGTTCAAGGGTCTGTGCTTTAGCTCGAAAAAGTGCAACAATGAGTGCTTGCAGGAGAGCGGAGCCTACTCCGGCGGCAAGTGCCGCGGCATCCTGTTTACATGCTGGTGCATCACGCCGTGCGCGATGACGCTGGCGCCAGCGCCCAGCGTCCATGGCAGCCCCGACGGACCAGAGTGGGGGTGATGGGTTCTTGAATAAACGAGAAAATCCCATGTATGTGTAATTTTGGCTCGTGATTTTTTTCCTCTGCAAAAACGCAAACAGGTCGTCAGAATAAAAGGGGTTGCGCTAAGTTTTCGTTGACTAACCTCTCTTTGCGCTCGTTGTATCTCTTCGTCTAAGGAACCTTTGGTAGGGTTTCCGGTTATGGCTTCTGAAGGAAATCTACCAAACACGATGAAAGAAAACGGCTTCGTTGTCTTTGAAAGCATCAAAGACCCAGAGCTCTTTTCAAACCAGGAGCCGGAGCCAAAATTTTTAGTTTCTACCTGTTCCTCTTAAAAATACTTTTCAAGCAGTTTTACTAAATATTTTTCTAGAATACTTTACCGCTACTACTAGAAAAGCTGTTCCACCAGATAATCCAAAGTCAGAGTCATTTTAGGAGGAGCTAAAACCCTGCCAAATAAATCTTAAAAAAAACATTCGTTGTATCTGATCCATTTAGGCAAAAATAAAATAGTTCTCCAATCTATATAGGTTGTCCATTCAAAAAATCTATATAGATTGGACGGGATCAATTTATTCAAGCAATACCTAAGGTCTTGTTCCCTTGGGTCGAGAATGGCTGAGATCGACCCCGATCCTTTGGACCACTCCGGCCTAGAAACAATCCCGGACCATAGAAGAACACATGTTTCATGATCTGACTTGAACTTACTGTTAGATATTTAGGTGTGTTCAAACATACTTTCATCCATAAAATTAGCAAAATATTCGTGACAATCACATGCACGTGTGGTCTGTTAGCAACTTCTATGCATGAACGAAAACATAATGACCATATGAATAAAAATCATAGCAACATAAACTGCAGAATTATACCTTGAGATGGGATCAGTGCCAGAGGTACCAGTGTCACCGCTCCCACTAGTCAATATAGTGAGATATTCGATGTTGTAGATCACAGTCGATGCAAGAAGAGACTTACAGTGCAATCCCATGAATGTTCACTAGAAAGTACGGAGTACTAGTATGTGCAGTCTACTGGAATGTCGAGAAGCAGTCCAACAACCATATATTGGAACACATGTCGGGAAGTAGTCAAACAACCATATATTGGAAATGAGTAGTTATGCACTGCGCTTCCAAAAAACATGGTCGCTTGTCACCCTTGCAGGTTTATAGTGGACATTGTGGTTCCGAAGACCTGCTCTCTAGGACGCCTATGTGCGTGGGAGTACTAGGACGGGGAGACGGGACAACAGAGACAACAGAAAACATGTACTTTATCTCGGAGGTACAGAGGTGTGTTGTGTTACACGCATGAGACAAAGGAGAAGAGACCTGCGTTGTGTTACACGCATGAGATATTTATAGCGCCAGCGGCAGACAAAAAGGGGGACAAACCTGGACACCAGTGACATTACCATGAAAAGTAAACATGGAGTTACCGCAGCTGGCATTACGAGTAACGAACATGTATTACTCTCGCATGATTTACTCCGGTAACGGTTTCTTTGATGAGCCCTGAATATGCGCCATCAATTGGCGCAAGTGGCAAAACATTCAACCCAGCATCACATCATATCATGCACAACTTGGCTAACGACAGGAACCGTGTGGCACGTGCCTCTCTCAACTTCACAACTGATACACATGAATATCACATATTTAAGTAGAGTCGAACTTTAGTCAAATTCTCATGTGGGCTAACTTTAATGCGCCTAGGATCTGACATGGGACTTAGGATTTATTTTATTTTAATTGAATAAAAATGGGAATCCAATTAAAAATTCCAACAATCCCCATGCAATATTCTAAGGCATAGAAGAAATGCTCTCAATTCTATAATTGTTTGATATACCAATGTGGCAATGTTTTGATGAAAACTGTTAAGTTGAACATCGGTCGTGTACATATGTTACAATTATTCACAATGATAGGCAGTGACCAGTAGTCAAACTCATGAAGGTATATTCCTCATAAGATTTCAGTAGAATAACATCTCTGCTTAAATAAGCCACTCAGATTATATTAATGTATAAACCAACCTGCATACAATATAGGAGAAAAGTGTAACTCAAATGACATGGACCTTGTTCCTGGCTCTCCTCATGTCAATCACGACATGTATTTATACACTCCTACTACTTTGATAGTATTTGAATCATCATTTTAATTGTTTACTTAAATATTTTCATTTGTATCCTGTAGATTTGATAAGTGTAACGATCATGGTGACTTCGTCAATCTTAAAATGTAGAAGTTTAGTGCTCTGGAAGTATTCATGGATGTCTGATTGCTTGCATGTGAGCCTATAGTGTGTTTTTAAAAAAGAAGTGCAATAGAAAATATGCTATTCTTACGGCCGGTTTTATAGAGCTCCTGAGCTTCACTTCTTGATTGTCTAATGGAGTGATTCTAGTCGACGAGCAGTTGGGAATCAGTTCCGAAGTACTCTAGTGGCAATTAAACAGAGAGCGGTGAGAAGTGATTTTCGTTAGGTCCCCACTAGAATCTAGTTGCATTTTAAGCATTTTAGGGCCTGTTTGGAACGTAAGAATTTTACAGGAATTGCGTAGGAATTTCACAGGAATCAGTTCAATTTCATAGGAAAAATGCATGAACAGAAAAAATTTCCCTGGTTCTAAACAGGCCCTTACAGGGATCCACAGAATCCACTCTGGAAAAGCTGGGAGTGAAGCTTTGGCAAACTGAACCTTAATTATCCTAGAGAAAGGAATGTGTTTTCATATGTTGAAAAAACGGAAGAGGCCTGTCCTGGCCCTATAGCTGTAACGATGCAGTAATAACGCTTTGATGATCTGGAGCGTTATCACCACCTCTATTCTCTTCTGTTCCCGCCGGATCTTATATGTACTGGCCTCAAGAACGGCTTCGATAGTTCCACGTGACTTTACGCCCATTTCCCTCCGACGCCCAAACAAATCCGGCAATGGAGCCTTCGCGGGAGAAGCTGTCTGCCGCCGTCGTACTCCTGCTGACGCTCCTCGTCGTGGTCGCCGGGATGTGTGCTGTACTTCTGTGTGTTCAATTGATCAATTAAACTAGTTCTAGTACCATTGTACCAAAGTCCAATCGGCGATCGATCTCGCCTCGCCGGATGTTGCTTAACGTTTGCTGCGCGCCTGCATGCGTGTAGAGATGCGGCCAGTTCAGGCACGCGACTGCCTGACGCGGAGCACCCTGTTACCGGGGGTTCTGTGCGTGCGGTCGGACTACTGCGCGATCGGGTGCAGGGAGGAGGGCAAGGGCTACACCGGCGGCAGGTGCCTCATCTCTCCCCTCCCGCTTGACGGAACTCGCTGCTACTGCGTCAAGCCTTGTGACTCGACGGACTGACGATCGGCCGGAGACCAGAGCGCGGTGGTGCTGGCCGGGGGTTATCAGCTATGGATGAACCATACGTCCTACCGTGCCTGTGTGTGTGTTATACATTTTTGCCCCAAAGCTTGTGGTAATAACCTTTTTTTATGTCTTGGAATAAAGAGGGGTTCTAGTCATTAAGTTGTTGGATTATTATTACTACTGCTGTTTTCTACTTGAGGAATTACTGCTGTTGTTTTTGCTCTCTATCTACATCCTCAAACGCTGTGTTAACGAAATTATTGGAGTGACGTGGCAAGTAGTAGATCAAAACAGAGCAGAATTTTATTAAAAAAACGTTAGCGACAAAATAAAATACCACAGAAAAACGGATGGTTGTTGTTGCTTAGATAACTGATTTTTCTATAAATTTTTTGAACAAACCGGCACTGACAGTGTCATTTCTATTTTATATACAAGTAGGTAACCATGTGAGGCTAGAGAAAACAACCACCGGAGAAAACACACGCCTTGCACTATAAACCCCCACACCTTTTTTTTAAAAAACCACCGGGGGAGCTGAGGGCTCCTCAATATATTTACCACAAATTCTGACAAGACTGCAATAGAGGGTGTAAAGCACCTAGTACAAGGTGACCCTTGAAGGGTCCAACATGGTATAAAGAGAGAGGAAGAGAGAAGACAACCAACATCAACATATACAAAGGGAAACACCAACAACCACAGGTAGAGCTAACAAAGCTACAACTCCCACTACCGAGGCAAGTCGATGAATGCCAAATATAGTACCACCAATAGACAAGACTCTGATGATCATGAGCTCCATTTCACGGGCGATTGTAAGGCGTTGAGTCAAGATTGACAGACGACTGGCGTGAAGTACATCCTTTATGGAGTTCATCCGGGACCAATCGCCTTCCACCTATGCCCCTAGAGGAGAGGAAGCCTCCAGGGTTGGAGGACCGACGGTTGGAAAACAAGGAGATCCAAGAGAGGGATCATGGTCCCACTAACCCGGCATATAGGGGGTGTTTGGGACTGCTCCACTCCACATTTCTAGCTTTGTGCTACACGTCTTTTAGCCAAACAGATTCAGCTCCACGCACTCTGCTCGAGGTAAAAAGGTGGAGTTGTGTGAGAGCACCTAAAAGGTGCTCCACAAACTCCAAGTTTTTTGTGGGGCTGCTCCACGGTGGAGTTTGTAGGAGCAGAGTTCGTGGAGCAATCCCAAACACGCCTACAGTGAGAAGATGCAATTAAGGAACCTGAAGGACGTTAGAGCAAGGACACCGGCGACGGACACCATCCAACAAGCAGCATGTGCCATAGTATAGGGAGTGCAAGAGGGACCCCTACAAGAAGGAAAGTTGGCCCCTCCACAGTGGCACCTTCAAGAAGGACGCGACGTCCACAGCACTACAGTTAAAGGGTGGGGGGCTACATTGACGCCTTCAAGGAGGTAAACGGCGACGGATGGCGTCGCCATCGATTTCATAGCTAGGGGCATGCACGGCCTTTCGCCTAAATTCCCCAAACCCATGAACTGTATCCCACCATCTCAAGATGGTGAGAATTCGTTCATAGAGACGCCCATGAACTCTCCCAATAGGGATGGCTCTTCGAAGTGCATACAAGATATAGAGAATTTGTTCTAGGATGAGAAGACACAGAAGAAGATTTTTATTTAAATGACTCTTCAAACAAATCGGTTGTACTGTAACCTGAAAGGTGATGTGATGTGAGGATCATTCCTGCCGGGTGCCGGCCGCGGCCAGCCTTATGTAAATTCTTAGTGACAAAATCAGGGATTTTGGATGTGTTCCAACGACCTGAGGGGAAAATGTTAATAAAACTAAGAACCACCGTCACTTTCCTTCAATGCAGTCAATTGAAGCATGCTTTCTCTGTCCACAAATATAAACATTTCTAGCATTTAAAATTTTCTATAAATGTAAACATTAATATCCTAATTATTTTCCTTGTTTGCAGCAACGTAATGTTGGTGTTTAGAAAATTCATTAGTGCCTTCTATTTCTGGGATCTCAACAGGTATTGATTGCATCTATATAATTTGAACGATTGATTGAGGATGGTCATTTTTCCTTCATCGTTAATCCGTCATAAAAAATTCAAAAATTACTTATATATGTTGAAGGGTACTACCATCACAGCCGCAGCACTGTTCCATTACAACTTTCAAGAACACAGGTACAACAGTCTAACTGCCACGAAGCTCGTACACGAATCACTCGTGTTTCTTTATTCAGGAGCGTGTTACACATTTTCTAGAAGGGCTTGGAGGGCAGGTTCGTGTTGGCCAGGAAGTGCTTGAACAGCTCAAGCGCTTGCACCGGCTGCGTGGACGGAACCATGTGCCCGGCTCCTCTCACGGTGACAAATGTCAGGCCATCGTACACCACAGTCCAGCCGCCAACCTACAAAAACACAGGGACACAACCATGTACCAGTAAATGTAACGATTTGTCATATGTGTGATAATAGCGTGGGATCAGTTTAGTTAGTAGACTCCATTTTGTCACTTTCAGGTTGTGAAGCCCATATGCATGTTTTGATGTTTTACTCCTATTATTTAAGGAGGCCGCTGGGGGAGCGCGCGACCCCGGCTTGGTGTCTTCTTCCTCCCCTGGCGTCTTCTTTCTCGCCAAGCTCGTGTTCTCGCGCCCTTCGTCCCCCACCCCGCCTCCTCCCCCGCCATCCCCGGCCACGGCTTCCTCGCCAACGACCCCGCCCTCCTCGTCTTCGCCCCACCGCCAGCCATCGCTCCACTGCGGGCGCTAGGGTTCGCCGGAGCTCTGGCGAACCCTGGTGCCCGCGGCGGCTGACTTCTTCCTCACCCCTCCGGCCATGACGAGCTCCGGCAGCGGCAACCTCCCTCCGGCCTTCGCGCCCCCGCCCCTCCTTGGTCCGGCCGACACCGCAGCCACCAGGGCCCCTAAGCCGCCCAGCCTCCTTCCCCACCCCTTGGCCGGCCTGCCTCCCTCCGGCCAGACACTTCTATACCCGCTAGAGTTGGGAAGGAGAGGGGGAGAGACCGACGAGGCGCGGCGCGAGCTCATCATCTCCGACACCGGAGAGGCTCAGGTGTGGGCGGGTTGCGGACGTGGGCTAGGGGAGAAGGCGAGCGCGAGGTGGGAGACGGGTCGTGTGCTCCCCACGCGTGCGGCCCGTCGCTTAATAGAGTTTGCGATTATTTAACTATTATATAAGAGACCAAGCTGGAATGGAAGGTAATTGGACTTGTTCAGCAGCTCTGCGCTTTACTACCTGCTTGCGATGGAACCACGGCGACCAGTCCTCTTTGATGGGCAAGCCAAGCTTCTTCAGCGTATACCGGGTTGACGTGGTAGGGATTCTTGCGTCTGTGTCGCCGCTGCTCGTCACGAAGGAAGGAACATGAGAAAACCACAGCGAATGCGGATCATAGCTTCCTATGACATGTTCTTGACAAGTGCGGCACATCTTGTTCTTGAGCAGATGAAGGGAAATTTTACCTGAAAATCCATATCCGGAGCCCTGCCTCCACCAGCTTCTTGACTACTGGAACGACTGTCAAGTCAGAATCTTTCCATGCGTTGCTGATCGAATTGCTACAAGAAAAAAAAAAGATATATTTATTTCAGCGATCTTTAACAGCTTTGTTGCCACCATAATCATTCATTCTCTGAATCCAGGCAAAGACAGACAGGGCAGTAAAATCACCGGCAAAGCGAATAGGGATAAGGCACGCCAGTGACATTTGCGTGCAGCGCCTTCTGCACGTCCTTGCGGTTGAAATATTCAGTCGCGTACGTCTGCGTGCACGGGTCGTACCCCATCGGCACCATTGAGAAGATCGAGCTGAGAATTCGCGCAGCAGAGCACGAAAGGAAGACATGGATCAATACTGAAACACGCGATGCAGTGCAGTGCAGATATGAGATGGAAAAAGACTGCAACTCATCATGCTCAGCTCATACTGAAGTAATTCAGGGTGCTTACACGGCCGCTGCTGGTACCCCCGATTTGCGCCGAGATCGAGTAGTTGAAATCCGGGTACCCGAGATCGCACCGATCGGTGTACAGGCTGTAGATGTCGATGATCTTGTAGAGCGCGGTGTACTGGTCGATGTCCGCGTTGCACTCCGGAGACAGGTCGACCAGGCTGAAGTCGCAGTTCTTCTGGACGTCGCTGTAGAATTTGTCGGAGATGATGGCGTGATGCCACAACGAGTCGAAGATCCCCACCAGATCAGTGTCCCCGTCCATGTACGCGTTTCCAATCTGGTATGGGAAAGAAGAATTCAGGCAGATGAATGATTGCGCTCAGTGTCCTACGTAGGAATATTTCTGAAGAGAAGTTCAGTGACTACTGAACAGTACTGTAGCGTATACTAGTGGCTGGCTCAGAAGACACTGCGTAGTGCATACCAAGATGCCTTTGAAGTTGATGTAATTTTCTTTGGAGGCCTTCTTGTTCTCCTCCAGAATGACGTTTGCAAGCTGGGGAACGTAATGTCCTATATATAGCAAGTAGAAAGGGAAGTGTAAACATCTGTCTACCAGCAAATAGATAGATGCCGTTCAAATTTAATCTGGACTGATGAATAACAGTTGCTGCACCGGCGTAGCTCTCTCCAGCGATGTAGAACTCCTTGGCTTTGTGCTGGGGGAACCTCTGGAACCACCTGACGAGGAAAGTGTATGAACCGTGTGCTGCAGCAAGTGCAGACAGCCATCGTTATTGATCATGTTTGTTACAGTAATTTCTTTTGTTTTTACAGTGAGCGGACATATATACCTGTGGAATTGTCTCCCGGCGGATCCTCTTCAAAGGACGTGTTTGTGTACGAAAATCCAACGCCTGCTGGAGAGTCCAGGAACAGCAGATTGGCAGCTGAAACACCACCGGACATGCAGTTTAGTTTACAAATGCTTCCGTTGTCACTGTTAACGGCAAAACTGTGACAAGTTAGTTCTGCCGGTGTTTCACTTGCCTTGATTCCAAGCATACGGGTTGAGCTCAAGCTCAGTAACATCTTTCTTCACCAGGAATGGCCCAAGTTCTTGTGACTGTCCAAACCCAATGGAAGAACAGCCAGGCCCTGAATAATTACGAATTTTTACAGTCCTTTGTTAAAAAAAATGAAGAATCAGATGCTAGTACAGATGCAATCAGTTAGTCAGTAACCTCCGTTCAGCCACAGGACCAGTGGCTTCTCCTCAGGCTTGGCCGTGGCCTCGAAGAACCAATAGAACAGTGCCTTGCCTAGGTACTCATCGGTCGTGACGTACCCAGCGTACTGCTTGGATGCAGACGAGTAGCTCGGCTGCCCGGGCAGCGACAGGACACGGTCGAGCTCTTGCACGGCTACCGTGGCTCCATCGAGGCTGCCGGCGTCAGGCTGTGCTGCCACTGCCAGTGTGAGAGAGAGAGTGCTGAGGAGCAGCAGGCAGGATAAGGTGTAAACCTTCATTGTTCAAGGTTTCCTTTCCATGCATTTGCAATAATGTTAGGCACTTGGGTTCAGTATTTATACTAGTGCGTACTGATGCTTCATGTAGGGAGCCGGGGTAGGGACAAGTAGATCATCTTTGGCCGGCTTGAACTTTTCTTTGATCGCTTTGTTCCTGTAGATTGCGTGCCTAGAGCCCTAGACTCATAACATGTCTTTTTCTTTTCTCGAACACAGACTCAACATGTCTCTTGATGTAAAAGCTCTAGTTTCTCAATCGGTGTTACAAAGGCCCTAGATCCACTCGTAGCTATTAGCTGTGTTAGCTGAGAGAAACCAGTTAATAGCTAATTATTAGGTTAGTAGTAGGTAAGACATTAGCTAGTTTATTATTTGATAGGATCCATTTTCTTCTCTAACAATATTTGTTCGGCAATACTCTTATCGATGGCTTTTCGAGAGAAAAAGCTGAGGATCCAAAAACAGATCCTCAGCTAACTTTTAGCAGCTAATTATTAGTTTTAGAGAACAGGTACTAAGACGCGGACGGAGAGTGGGGGGGGGGGGGTGTTTTGAGGAGTCAAATTATGCTTCTTGACCGTTAGAGGTACATATCCTTGCGGCAAGATCAACTGAATCATTTTTTGTACCAATGCTATGTACAGAAATCCTAACCGTTAGAGTTATATATATTTGGTTAAAAAACTTTGATATATACATCAAGGTGACATCAATCTGAACTTTCAGCCAAGTCCGTTATCCGTTATAATCAGATGATTGTATCTGTCTGGGTAAAAAAACAGAGGATCTGCAATAGCAAATAGTTTATCCAGTGTCACCGCGTTGAGAGTGACAAGCACTTCAGCTGTTGTGCGAGTATCTATCATGATTTATGACAGAGGCAACAAGCAAGAAGTTCTGTCAATAATTATCAGCATTTCTAGTATTTTAGGACATAAAGGGAAAGATTATGGTTCCAGAGGTCAGAAATAGAAGGCAACTTAATTTTTGAACACCAACATCACGTTGATGCAACATGCAAATAATAAAACTAATTATTAGTAATTATGAGGGGGAGAGAGGGTAGATAATGCTAGAGATGCTTATATCCACGGATAAATTTTAAATGTCAGAAATGTTGTTTGTGGAGGGAGGGAGTAACTTGAACTGCGATAAAATATTATTTACACTTTAAATGGTAAGTCTTTTTAGCTTTGTTCTAAGTTAAATGGTTCTAGTTTTAAGCAAGTTTATAGGAAGCAATGAATAAAAAATTACAGCATCAAACAAGTTCTAAGTCAACAATTATTTAATATTATAGATGTTAATAGATTTTTCTATAAATTTGGTCAAAAAAATTCTTCATAGAACACAAGAGTTGCATGTCATTTCATTTAAGAAGAAAAAAAAATAATATATAGAGAGATCAAGAGGCCTCTCCAAGACCCAATCCCTTACATTACATTAGCACATATTACAAAATTGGAACAAAAGGCCCGATAAGAAGAGGGTAGATTTTCCATATGTATATATGCGTGGTCGTCAGACTTATCCTGGATATAGGAAGGGCGTCAAGATTCACGTGGTAGGAGAGCTCGGACAGGTGTGGGCGCAGCCGGGGGCGGCGGAGGGCGGCGACCTGGGCCGTGGCATGGGGCAACACCGGAACGGTGGCGAACGAGGTGGCCAGAGTCAGGCGCGGCGAATGCCGGGCCGAAGCCAGGGGCGGCGGGGGCTGGGGCCAGTGATCGGGACCATGGCATGGGACGAGGCCGGCGGTGGCTAAGAACTACTTATACACTTAATAAGTATCAAAAAAGTATCGGGAAGGCATTATCCCTCAGGGGATCATCATCTGAAAAAGACACCTTTTATGCAATACAAAACTGGGTCCCCGAATACTAACAAAACAAGACAACATAACAAGGTAAGAGTAAGGTCCCGTTTGGCAGGGCTTCACTTCACTAGTGAAGTCATTTTTTTGGCTTCAGCTCCACGAACAGCTCCACCGGTGGAGCTGAAGCGGTTTTGATAAACCGTTTGGCAAAATGGCTTCCCTGTGAGAGCATGTTTTTAGGGGCCTGGAGGAGGAGCCGGGAGAAGCCACTATTTTTGGCTCCTTCCCACCCCAAAGCTCTGTGAGAGCACGTTTTTAGGGGCTTCATCGGTGGAGCCGTTTCATTTTACCCCGTTTGGCAGAAAACGGCTCCAAACGGCTCCTGAAGCCGCTGGAGAAGCCCTGCCAAACGGAGCCTAAGAGACGCAGCACAAGCATCCAACTCAGCTGATCGAAGGGATCACAAGTGATACGTGGTAACGTGGACAACGAGTTGCCAATTTCCTATTCTGCTTCATACATGATTCGATTTGTAGTTTGCTTATGCAAATGCCGAGCTTCTGCAGCACAAGAATCATTCAAAGTTTGAGATGGAATCAAACTAGCTAGGAACCCACAATTTTGAGTGCTGAAACTACACATGTGCACATGAAAACAGAGGGACGCAACCAGATAATAAGAGCACACTTCTGTGGTCATTGGCCAATCGATCGTGCATCTCTTGCAATAGTTATATTTTTTCGAGAACATGCTAGATACGTATATTATTAAGAGATGAGGAAGTGATCTAATAAACCATACAAGAATGGATTATAGAAACGGAATGAAGAAAAGAAGCAACGCAACCTAGGGGGCAACTAGAGAGGAAGAGCTACGTAGAAGCGGAAAACTGAGACAGGTAAATATGTACTGTATGATGCAGGGTTTAGGTACAAAGATCATCAAAAACTTGCTCTTAACGGAATACGTACCTCGTGGTACGGTCGCGAAAAAAGATCATAAAAAAGAAACGAAGAATTAAACCGACACTCATTGTTATCAATGAAAAAGCAGCAGCTAGTTTTTTTTACTGGGTCCTTTCCGTTGCTACTCGTGGAGCTCGAAAGCATCTGGCCTCTAGTTGAGTTTCGATGATTAATGATAATACGTGATTACTATAACTAACATGTGTTTTGCAGAGACAATTAAGTTAGGTCATGGTAATGGTAATTGATTGGGCAATCATGGTTGTCATGCCCCTACGATGAAAATCGTTTTGGTTTTCAAAGGATGGACTAGTTCTAAGTGTTGTTTGGTGTTGAATAGACACTTAGAGTAGTTTAGCATTTTGTTTTTCCTTTGACCGTACTATTAAGGGGATATTGACTAGTAGCTTGACCTATGTGAGTCTAGTGGGTTAGGTGTGGTGCACACTTATCAAATCTAACACTAGGTAGCTCAGGAGTAGCCCTAAGATCAATTGGAGCGAACTTCATTCACATATGATTTCGAGTTTGAAGTGAATGGAGGGTCAAAATATTGACCGGACGCTGGCAGTAGAGTCCGGTCAGTTCATTTGATCAAGGAGAAGTCGTCTGGTTGCGACCGGACGTTGAGTGAAAAGTGACCGGACGCTGGGTGCCAGAGTCCGGTCAACTCCAGTAAGGTTCCAGACAGGGAGAATCCTGATCGGATGCGTCCGGTCAGTGCTGACCGGACGCTGGTCAGGTTTCGGTTACTGACCGGACACTGAACAGCAAAGTGATCGGACTCTAGGCATCAACGTTCGGTCAACATCAGTAAGGGTCCAGAGAGCAGTTTTCGTGATCGGACGTGTCCGGTCAGTGATGACCGGACGTAGGTCAGAGTTCGGTCACAACTTAACGGCTCTATGGCGGGAAGAACTGACCGGAGCGTCCGGTCACCCCGCAGAACACTGACGCAACCTCCTAATGGTTCGATTTGAATGAGGGGGTATAAATACTTCCTCTATTCATCCAAGGGAGGTCTCTTGCCCATTTGATCAACTGAGAAACACCCTTGAGAGTGCTTTTGAGAGCAAGAACCTAGTGAGGTGATTGAGATTTGAGAATCCAAGATTAAGGCCTCATTAGTGCAAGGAGAGTAGCAAGTGTGCATCCATCCTTCTCATTAGGTTTGTTATGGTCAAATGAGAGTTCGTGCTTGTTACTCTTGGTGATCGCCATCACTTAGATGGCTTGGTGGTGATCGGAAGTTTGGTGATCATCCGACGGAGCTTGTTGATGATCCAACTCAAGTTGTAAGCGGTTGTGGGTGATTCACCGCGACGGAGTGTCAAAGAATCAACCCATAGAGAGCACTTGATCCTTGCGCGGATCAAGGGGGAGCTACACCCTTGCGCGGGTGTTCCAACGAGGACTAATGGGGAGTGGCGACTCTCCGATACCTCAGCAAAACATCGCCGCATTCCTTGTCCTCTCTTTACTTTGAGCATTTATATTTGAGCAATTCAATTCTTGTCTTTACATTCTTATAATTGCCATGCTAGAATAGGATTGGAACTTTGAGTGCTAAACTTTTATGCGGTAGATCATTAGAATCACATTCTAGGCACACAAGGTGAAGTGGGCTAAGTGTAGGGTTTAATTATTACAAAGAATTTTAGAATTAGCCCAATTCAACCCCCCTCTTGGGCATCTTGATCCTTTCAATTAGTATCAGAGCCTCGTGCTCACGTATTTAGGCTTAACCGCCTAGAGAAAGATGTCCCACGGGGATGGACCTCCTCCTATCTTTGAGGGAGATGATTTTCTTTATTGGAAAATCTACATGGAGGCGTACTTAGAAGCTCTAGATGTGGGAATTCTTAGAGTTGCCTCTCAAGGTTTTCCAAAACCTAGGGATCCCGCACATCTTCAAGGCGATGAGGTTAATTATGAGAAATGGAATGCAAAGGCTAGAGACACCATCTTTAGAGGCCTTTGCAAAGATGTGTTTAACCATGTGTGGAACCACAAGGATGTCCATGCACTATGATTGGACATTTGTGCGCTCCATGAGGGAACAAAGAGTGAGCCTGAGAAACACTATCATCTTGTCATGAAAAAACTTAATTCATTTGAGATGCTTTCGAAAGAAAGTGCTAATGAAATATACTCACGCTTAAATGTTCTTGTAGAGGAAGTCAATGGGCTTAGACTTACACAAATGCAACCATCCGATG